TCATTAATGTCCTGTAAACGAACCTTTGTGCTAATATTGATGTATCTAAAGCTAGTGGTATGAACTGACCCCTAAAATATCTAAAAACTTTATAGATTTAGAGATTATATATCTCTATAATCTAACTGACACACCATTGACAATGACAAATAATTGATTTCTGGAGGTATTTTGTGTAGGTGTTTTTCAGGTATGTTTTAAAATTTATTCGTTTTACATAAAGAAATACCGATTAAACGATATAATAATACTTCATAACAAATCTAGACACATATACCTTTCATTTAAAAAAAGAATCATCAAGATTGGTGAGGCGGTTTCGGCGGGATGGATGTAACAAAAAAACCCTTTGAGTTTTTATATATATATCCCACTTCGGTGTCACAAGCTGAATTTTTCAGGGAAGGAAGTACAAGTACGTGATATGGGGACCCTTATTCCAAAAGTAGTACAAAATTAGACCGGGAAAAAGGGCACTATCATCAAAAATCGATATATTAATACCACCGTATAGAGAAACAAATACTTATTTTTGATCCAGTACACAATAAAGTCTTTGTAGGGAGTAATTATTTATAATTATTTACAAAAAACATTTCCATTAGCGCTTATGACCAAAAAAACTTTAAACATGAATAACTCATTTCAATCATGCGAAAATTTGGTTTAAAATAGACTTTCTTTAATATAACTTTCATTTAACGAAAACGAAGGCCTAAATGAAAAAAGAAACAATTTAAAAGTTTCGCTTATGTCTTGACAAGGTATCAAAGCAAACCCTATATTTTTGCTTTTAAACTAATAAAGATATATCAATAAACAATTAGCGATGTAATGGTTTTGCGCGCGCTGGCCGACTGCCGCCGTTGCGCCGAGATTTCCTATACCCTTGTATATATGACGTCATGGTGTGGCAAATGTAGCATTTTAATTCGATTTGGGCTCCCTTATATAGGATAACAGAAACATTTTCAATGTTAATAAGAAAAAACAGCAAATTGGTCGAAGAATTTATCCTTATCATTTACTCTGGTAAATGTTTAAATAAACTTTTCAAATTTCAATCCTTCATATTTTCTCAATGACTCAACCAATTTTCAAAAGCGAAGCGGGAAAGTATAGAGAATAGAAAGCCCTTTTTATTGCGGTACCACTTGACCCCCCTTCCCATTTGAAAAAAATTGGGGGATGACACCCCCGCTTAGAGGGTTGAAGATTTTGCAATTATTTTTGGGGCAAAAGTTGTCCCCCTCGCAAACAAAATTGACGTGTTTTTGGATTTTCTGAAAAAAAATTACCCTGGCCGTTATGCCTTGCGGAACGTTTTCGATGGGCCACCCTGTATAGTCTAATAAACCCTATTTACCTTTTAAAGACCGGACTGTATAGAATTTCTAATAGCTGTTATGTAACTTAATACTTTGCGCAATATCCATTAACAGCTACAGCAAGCCGAAATCAATGTATTTTGGAATTCAATATTGTATCAATAAATGTTAAACGAATAATTATAATAGCTATTTATGTAACTAGTACCTAAAATGATGTTTTTTAGGACGAATCATTACTGTTTGCGGACGAGGCGTTAGCCGAGTCCGAAATAGTAGATGAGTCCTAAAAAACATAATTTAGGTACGTGTTACATACACTATTTTTTGTCATACGCTTTTTACAGTTTTTTAGAACGCATATTTGCAAATTTTCCATATTTGAAATTATAATGTTTGAAAAAGTTGGCTTATAAATTCATATCTTAGTAACGAGTTTGTTTATTTCATCGCATTTTGACATGTCATTCGAAATTTGTCACAAAATCACACAAATTCATCAACAATTTAGACATTTTAGTCCATAAAGGTTGCCATGACGACCTTTACGGCCTAGGCCGAAAAAGAAACATTTTACGGACTGAAATGAGTCCGTAAAATAGCTGTTTTTGGGAGCGTATGACAAAAACATATTAATGAACGATGTTTACATCTTGAAGTAAATTTTAATAGTTGTTACTGCAGCTATTAAAATTTACTTCATGTTAGCCTTTAATCATTCAATTTATTACTTTACTAACCTTGGAAATTATTTTATTATTTTAATTAGGCAATATCAACCCTTAAGGGCTACATAGTGGTCTGTCAGACACCTCGAGCTAAACATTTCTATATACAGGGTGTCCCAGAATTAAGTGCAAATATTTTAACTGGTAGTATAGTTCAACCCCAGAAACACGCCTATGAGGTTTTTTTCGCCAAAAAAAATTGAAAATTCGAAATTTTTTGAAAAAATTTTTGGAATTTTTTTTAATTTTTAGTTATAAAACATAATTTCTTGATAATATGGCAACATAGGTATTAGATTAAATTTACAAGAAAGAAAATCCAGAAAATATCCAGTGGTTCTCAAAATTTTAGCAAAAAAATATTTTTTTTTTGGAAATTTTCAAAGTAAAATAACTTCGTTATTTTGGACTTATTTGAAAAACGACAAAGAGAAAATATGTTTCTTTTATTGAGATCTATCACCTCTTAAAATATTTGCACTTATTTCTGGGACACCCTGTATATCGTAAACGCCTGCAATTGTAGTAATGAGGATGCATAATATGCATCCTCAATGCATATACATTTAAGTCAATAGGTGTTCGATAAGGTAATTAAGCGATAAACTCATTAGTGTACGGCGTGCTGATTTATTGAATACAGAAACTCTAGAAGTGCCTACCAGACTCCTCTATAGCGATTATGTAAGTTTTTTTTCTGATATTTTTGGATTTTTTATCGTTTTTGTTATTTACTTGCTTGTTTTATTATAGACATATATTAAAATTAAGTTAATGTGTAATAACAATGTAAATAACAATTTTTCTCAAACGGTTGACGCTAGCACCATTAAATGGATATATTATACACCAAAGCTACACAAATGCTTTCACAAAGGGAGGGTGGAGGGTAAAGCGTTTTTTAAACATCTAGCTAAAGCCATTACAAATCCAGTGATTGAAAAAAGGTTTCTCAACCGAAAAATACAAAGAAAATTTTAGACTTCGGGCGAATATTGAACGACTCTACGGTATGCGAAACAACAGCTGAAGGGGCGTGACTATAAATGAGAAGTTTTGCTCCAGGTGCTTTTGCAAAATAAAAAGAAACAGCTGGTCTCTCTGTAGAAGTTGTAAAAATAAACAATCTCTTTACATTGCTCAAGAAAATATACTTAAACTATCGCGAGTACAAAAATGTATGAAAATATCACTTTTCATGTTTTTAAAATTATTCTGTATAGCTGTTAAGGATTAAGTAAGTTTAATAATAATCTTTTACTATCATTCACAGACTATAAAGAACCCTACTTGCATATATGCACCAACAAATCCAACAATTTACATTAATGTGTTTTAATACAAGTGAGTTATGACCCTTCGCACCAATTTGCATTTAAACAGCGTTTAAGTAATCACTGATTATCTTTTAATCGATGATTATTTTTGTTACATAATATTATGCCCCATGTACAATGAAAGCTTGCTTAGTTAATCAGCAAATATTTTTGCCAACAACGTAAATCTTTGCTAAGGTAGCGAACCTCATATTCGTATTTGTACCTTTTCCTTGGTTTCAAACATTGTTTATCTTTTTTTTATGTTAAACGCCAGGTAATTTTTTCATAGTTTTCAAATTATAAATTCTGTTTTAAAGGGAAAATTATTTTGTAGTACTCTTTGTATGCTTTTAAACTAAAAATAAGTTCGGGACATGGATCGCGATGAAATTAAAAAAAGAAAAGAAACTATTGTATTAGAACTCTAATTGCAAAGAAAATCTAATTGCAAATATATGTGAAAGATATCAGGATATATTAGGAAAAGAAGAAAACTGATCCTGTGTCCGTATCAGAAAAAAGTGAAGTGCTAAAATTTACATTCGTCCATTTCGTCAAAATAGTTATAGTACTCACATAAATTTTTCAAGGAAATCCATAGTCGATAATTTTGAGATATCCAAATCATCTTCCAAAATGTAATTTTCATCAAAATCCATACTGTATGACATGGATTTCCGAACCATGGATGGTCCCCGAATGGTCTTAACAAGAGTTTTTAACTTTTTCTTAACACTTCTTAACACTTTTTTATTATTGACATTTTGGGAAAAATTCATAAAAAATTTTGCTTTTCTTAAAATTTAATCCCCGGTTAACCCCGTTTATAGTTTCCAACATAATATTTTAAAAAACCAAACATAATATTTTTTGTTCTTTTAAAATGTTAAAGAAGCACAAAATTTGATTAGTTCAATGCTATGGAAAGAGTGATGACAGTTATCGGAAAATGTTATACTTTAACAACACCAAAGAATATGACGTTAATCAAAGTTAATAATAATAACCATTTATCAAAGAATGAAATCAAATTGATATTACCACAGAAACGCCTTTTTATTTTTAGCACTTATAGCACAAAAAAATTTAACTATATTTTCATGTTTTTCTTAATTTTCTCTGAAATGGTACGGAAATTTAGAAAAGTATAAACGGGATTAACCATTTTAGAACAAACAAAGATTTTTATGAATAGTGTATTTTTCTCAAAATGTCAATAATAAAAAAGTCTTTTCTCTTGTAAAGATAATCCGGGGACATACTGTATGTTTTTTTTTTTAATAAAAACTAAGTATAAAAATTTACTAAAAGCATAAGTGCCAAATAATATGATAACAAAACACAGAATAATAATTGCATGAAGTTAGAATAATAATATAATAATAATCTACTCGGAAACCAAACCAAACGCCCAAATATGACCGTTTAGTTTAAACATTGATTAAATAAATATAAACAACGTTTATGTGTATAAACAACGTTTATGTAATGGTGCAAATAAAATATTCTAGTTAATTACTGTTTAGCCTTTAAAGAAAGTTTATACAAACGGTGCAAGTGAACATTAGTAAATTATAATTATGCTAGTTGATTACTACCTAAAAGAAGACCTATTAATTGTTTACCTTGATCATCCAGCTGCGTCCACCATCGCTCCGCTTCTTTCTCCGAGGGCCACACATCGCTCAGCCCAATTTCCTTTATCCTCGCCCTTTCTTCTGACTTTTTCTCCCTTCCAACGGTCAAGGCCCTCGATTCGACCTTCTTGCAATGGCCCTTAGCGCACCAGCACGCCACCGTCACCGCCAAGATCAAAGTCCAGCGCATTTTCGCCCGAAAATCAGCACACCGGTCGCCTCATAACCATTTATTTTTAAATAAACCCGCTTTTTTGGCTGTACTTCTTCTTCGGTTGAATTTTTCACCGAGATCGTCCCACCAGAACGACCAGCAGCGACTCAATGTTAATGCCTAACGTCATTACGTCGCTTGGTGTACTTTTGGCTTTTGCTACGGCCGTCCGAAGTGAACTGAATCAGGTATAATGTTAAATATTATCCGCGTTTACGCATGAATTCGTCTAATATGCCGTGAGTTGAGGCGGATAATACGAGCAACGAGACGTGTATGTAGAATTTTTACGGTACTACCGACAGACTCTATAGCTAGACCGACTGATCCAGCTAACGATGGACTGTGATTGATTGACGGGTTAAAAAAATATCATATTGGTTTTTATGGACGCCCACCGTTTACGGAATGTATTAGAGAGGGTGGAAGTAGAGACGGTACGGTTTGGTGGCTAAGTGGTACGGGACACGTGCCGCGGTCGGTAGAAAATTGGAGAAAATTATACGGATTTTTCGTTGGTTAAAATCGAAATTTCGCATGTCGATAAGAGTATCATTTTTGTAATGATAACTGAAATAATAGATCTAAATGAATAGCGTACAATAATGTTCTAATCATTGTGTATGACAGTTATAATCCTTTCCAAAAAAGCACCTATTATAACTAAGTATTGTATACGGGGTGTTTTCAGAAAGTTTTTATACAATTCTACAGCACACACTGATAAAAAAATATGTAAAAATACACATTAGATTATTGGTTACTTTTATGCCACACAAATATGTGTAAAATTCAATCTTGTCTGGAATTTTACATTTATCATGTAATTTTACATTTTTGGTGTGTAAAATTAAAATGTAGAAATAGAATAGCATTTGGTATTTAAGCTTACAATGTGCTTATACTTCTTTAGTATCGTAATTATACGACTAAGTTCACTTTAGATTATGTATTTTTACTACATTAGCATGTATTTTTACATTATATGGACATAAGATATTTTATATTATTGAATATAGAACAATTTAAATAGAATTAGTTCAAGATTTTATGTCGTACAATGTAATCTGTGAATGAATGCTATCTTACATATTAAAAACCTTTTGAGATACATTTTGCTTTTACGAGTATGTCGAAATTCAGATGAAGTTTTACATTAAGCTTTTGATAAATTGTACTGAAGCTGTGGTTGGTTCCTTGTGAAACATCGTTGAAATATTAGTATTTTAATAAAGCACGCTTTTAGATGTTTCAAAAAACTTTTAATAAGAGTAACTTTAACTCTACATATATGTTTCGGCTTGTTAGGCCTTTTTCAAGAGTTTTTTAAGAACTAATCGTCTAACTACACTGTAACTATATATATATTTGCTATGGGGTGGGTTCAGAGAGTTTACAATAGGGGTAATAAAAAATGTGTTTAGAAATCCTTGTTGGTCGTTAACATTATTTTCGTTTTTAACAGATTTTAGTATTTCTAACTGTTCAATGTAATTTAAGCGTCTACCTTTTGTTTCTCTGTGTAGTAACTTAATTGAGTTTTCATTAATTTTGTGATTATTTACTATACAATGAGTTGCAAGACCAGAACTATGCTGGAGATTATTAATAGACTTTACATGTTCTTTAATCCTTATATCTAAATTTCTACCTGTTTGGCCTATGTACACGGCATCACAATCATTGCAATCCACCCTATATACACCCGACTTATTTTTCACATTAGTTTTGTCTTTATTATTTAATAAAATTTGACCTAAATTTCTTTTATTTACGTTAATAGTTTTACATCCTATTTTATTGAGATTATTTGATATTTTGTTAGTTAAATTAGGAATGTAGTTTAAAAGTCGATAATTGTTATTGTCTTTAGAATTAGCGGAACAAAAATTTTTCATTAATGTTTTCTGTTGTTTTTGCTTTAGCATATTATCAATAAGGGAACACTTATATCCATTGTTGATGGCGATTTGTTTAATAATATTTAACTCTTTTTTAAAATTCTCTGGGCTCAGTGGAAACATTACTAATCTGTGAATTAAACTATGAAAGGGTGACATTTTGATTTGCCAGGATTGGTGTGATTGACTATGTATTACAGTGTCTGTGGTAGTGGGTTTTCTGTAAATATCAAATTGTAATCTATTAGACTGTTTTATAATTGTAACATCAAGAAAATTTATGGTATTAATACCTTTTTCAATAGTAAATTGTATTCTCGGGTTAATTGAATTTAATAATGTTAAAAAACTGTTTAAATTTCTCTCGGTGCCTGACCAAATACAAAAAATGTCATCTACATATTAGTAAATGTCATCTACATATAGATTAGTTCTTAAAAAATTCTTGAAAAAGGCCTAACAAGCCGAAACATATATGTAGAGTTAAAGTTACTCTTATTAAAAGTTTTTTGAAACATTTAAAAGCGTGCTTTATTAAAATACTAATATTAAGCTTTTGAATCATATCCAGGGTTACTACAGCTTCCCAGAAAAAAAATGTCCCATTCTTAACTGGAGGCCTAAACACGCCAATACCTTTCGGTAAAACATTAATCCGCATATATCTTTTTTTTTTCTAAAAAAATATTTAGGAAATTTAACAATACTTGTAAAAACACAGTACAGCACATATTTGCAGTATGAAAGTGACTAGAAAAGGAATAAGCCGAGATAATACTCTTGGATCTGACCCTACTACAAACAAGTATTGTATAATATTATTTTGTAGATGTATTTGAAATACATACCTTATTAAAACCAAATTCGATAAACTTTTTTTACTCTGTCTGATTTAATGTGTATTTACCATGTATTATTACACTATAGATGAATGAATATGACCAGGAGCTAGGAATTTGTAATTGCATCCAAAAGGTAAACACCTTTTAAAACAAACTCATTTGATTATTTAAATATCTATTAACTTTCAGTGTTATAGTTCCATAAAAAGATATTTAAACACAAATCAAAAATATCGAGAATAGATTATTTAAAAAAACATAAGATATTTTATATTATTGAATATAAAACAATTTCAACAGAATTAGTTCAAGATTTTATGTCCTACGATGTAATCTGTGAATGAATGCTATCTTACATATTAAAAACTTACCTTTTGAGATACATTTTGCTTTTACGAGTATGTCGAAATTCAGATGAAGTTTTACATTAAGCTTTTGAATCATATCCAGGGTTACTAAAGCTTCCTAGAAAAATGTCCCATTCTTAACTGGAGGCCTAAACACGCCAATACCTTTCGGTAAAAAATGAATCCTCATATATCTTTTTTTTTTCTAAAAAAATATTTAGGAAATTTAACAATACTTGTAAAAACAGAGTACAGCACATATTTGCAGTATGAAAGTGACTAGAAAAGGAATAAGCCGAGATAATACTCTTGGATCTGACCCTACTACAAACAAGTATTGTATAATATTATTTTGTAAATATATTTGAAATACATACCTTATTAAAACCAAATTCGATAAATTTTGTTTAAAAACCGCTCTCGCATTACTTCAGCATGAGGGCTGCCCTCGCTTATTTGCGTTGCTCTTCCTTTTTCTTCAGTATTTTCTTAACCGTGGCACGTGTCGCGTTCCACAGTTTTTTACCGCCAACCAGTCCAGCATACATGCTTTCCACAGTGAATACTTGTGCAGTCTGCACCTCAAAATATTTCCTCTCATTGACCCAGCATGGGCAGTTGAACAGAGTATGCTCAACATCCTCCTCCATTGTGCAATATGAGCATCTCTCAGTTTGTGATGGAGCACGGTTATAGAGGTATTTGTTAAAGCATCCATGACCGGAGAGGGCCTGGGTCATAAAATAGTCAACTTCCCCATACGACCTATTAATCCATTATTTTAGGTCCCGGATTATCCTGTAGATCCATCTACCAGTACTGGAGCTCTCCCATTCCAGCTGCCATGCATTTAGTAAGTTTTCTCGTGCCTCCTGTTTATGAAGGCCCATATATGTTTCATGTCTTTCTCGCAGCAGTAGGTGTATCGGCGGAATACCTGCTATAACCAAGGCTGCATCTCCCGAGAAAGTCCTATACGCGCAACATGTTCTGATTGCTGCAACCCGTTGCAATCGGGCAAGCTTTATTTTATTTTGGGCTTTTGATATTGCTTGTGTCCATACAGGAGCGGTATAAAGTAGTTGTGAATGGACTACCCCAAGCATGACTCTTCTTTTTGAAGCTCTTGGGCCCCCAACATTTGGTAGTAAACGTGATAGTGCTCTTAAAGATTTCTCAGCTTTCAGAATGGTCATGCCTATGTGCTCTTTAAAGGTGAGTTTTTTGTCCAGCCACACTTCCAGGTATTTGATTGTATCTTTCGGCTTTATTCTAGTACCCTCTACTTCGAAAACTACGGGAGAAATATTTCTCTTTGTGGAAATTACCACAGCTTCTGTTTTCTCCTGTGCTAATTTTAATTTATTACGCATCATCCAGGCAGAAACTTTAATAAGGGCAATGTTTGCTTTACTCATCAACAGATGTTCATTGTCAGCAACAACAACTAGGGCCACGTCATCAGCAAATCCAATTAACATCACGCCGCTAGGTAGATCTATGTTTAGCAGGCTGTCATACAATATATTCCACAGTGTTGGCCCCAACACTGAGCCTTGGGGTACGCCACTAGTGACACTAATAATTTTTGCGGTCCCTTCAGCTTCCATAATTATTCGTCTGTCTGTTAAGTATGACGCAATAATCTCAATCAAGTTCCTATTTATTTCCCTTTCGACAAGTCTATTTAGAATTAATTGTCTAGATGCGCTATTAAAGGCATTTCTAACGTCCAACGTGATGACTCCACAAAGCTTTCGGTTTTGTGGGGCATAATCTGCTGCTTCTTTGGCAATTTTCATTACCTGCATAATAGCGTCTACGGTTTGCCTTCCCTTTCTGAAGCCAAATTGATTTATTGACAGGCCACCCGTCCTGTCAAGCTCATGGTTTAGTTTTGCAAGTATCATCTGTTCATAGAGTTTGCCTTCCACATCCAGAAGGCATATTGGTCTATATGCTGAAGGGTTTCCTACTTCTTTATTAGGTTTCTTGATGAGAATTAGCTTTGCAATCTTCCATTCAAATGGAAATATTTTCCTTTCCGCTAAACGGTTGTAAATAGTCAACAGATAATCAGGCTTCGCTTTCGTTATTTCTTTTAGTACTTCTCCTGGGATACAACCTGGACCAGGAGATTTATTATTTTTTAGACGCTCAGAAGACATATATAACTCTTCTAACGTAAAAGTAATTTTATCACAGTTTATATTATCACATGAA